AATAAGTATTAACTAACATGCCTACTATGAGACAAGCACATGTATTTTATAATGCATATAACTATTTAAGAAATTCTGATCAAATCTTAAATTATCATCTAGAACATTGGTTCTCAAATTTTTTAAAAATAAAACCTTTCTTCAAAGACAACCTTAGTCAGAGCCAGGCGCCAGTGGCTCACACCTGTAATCCTAGCTACTCAGGAGGCAGAGATCAGGAGGATTGTAGTTCAAAGCCCCCCCAGGCAAAGAGTTTGGCAAGACCCTATCTCAAAGAACCCTTCATAAAAATATGGCTGGTGGAGTGTCTTGAGGTGAAGGCCCTGAGTTCAAGCCCCAGAACTGCAAAGACAATCTTATTCAGAACTCAAGATGCAAATAAACCACAGAACTGCTGTCTGGTTAAAACTTTAAGACAAGACCTAAAGCCCAATTTGTCTTAGTCTACCATAACAAAATACGATGCACAAGTTCCTGGATTCAATCTCAAGCACCACACACACAAAAAAAAAAAGAAGTTTATTTCTCACAGTTGTGGAAACTGGAAAATCCAAATCAAGGTGCCAACCAAGTAAGTTTCCAGTAAGGGATCTCTTCCTACTTAGTGGCCTGCCACTTTCTCACTATATCCTCCAGGGTGGAAAGATCACTGGTAACACTTCCTCTTTTATAGAGAAACCAGTTCTATCAGATCAGAGCTCCACCCTTACGACCTCATTTAACTTTAAATCACCTTTTTTAAGGCCCTATTTCCAATCCAGTAACATGGGATAGGGTTTCAATAAACGAATTTTGGGGAGACACAATTCAGTCCATAGCACCATTTATTGAATCGCCTCCTTGATCCAGATCTGGGGATATCTGGATGCAAAATCTTAAGTCTAATCATACAACTTAACTGTACAAAAAAACTGGAGGGCAGGGACATTAAATGACTGGCCTCAAGTCACCCACTAGTCAGTTGCAGACTTTTAACATTTGAACTCAGGTCCCTCGTCTTATTCATTCCGCCAAACTTTCTCTTATGATACAACACAAACAGTAGTGAAGTCATCAAGTACTTTAATTTTCGAAGAGCTGCACGAGAATCAGTAATTACTAGACCTTTCATGTGCACTCCAAGGTCACATATGCAATGCCTACTCAACACCTCTAAGGGTGTGTCTGATACATATTACAAACTTAACATATCTAAAACCTAACTCCTGATTTTCTTCTCTTATACCTACTTGATTACTCCATCCTTCCAGATGCTCAGCCCTACTCCTCACCTTTCCTCATTTTTTTTTACTAAACCCACCAGCATATCTGACTAGCTCTACTTTCAAATTATATGTAAACTGCTACAATAAAATGTTCAGAAAAAAATATTCAGAATGTGCCTCATTATCTTTCATCACCTCTATTATTACCATCATGACCCAAGATGACAATTATCTGCCACTTGGACTATAACAAGAACCATTTAACTGACCTCCATGCTTCCATTTTTGCCTCCAAGAGCCTGCATTCAACATTACAGTAAAGCTAAATCTGGTGTAAGGTCCTATGACTTCCCCCACTGAAACAGCTCTTCAATAGCTTCCCAACTCATGCTGAGTAAAGCCCAAAGGTTTGATGGTCTTCTCAAGACTAGGATTATAATTACATCTCTGATGTCACAAGAGCTATAATATTACACTGTATGAACTCACTATCACTAATAAACTGATCCATCATTAATGGACATTTACACTGTCCATAATTTTTCAATATCATACACCATACACACACACATAATTATCTATGTGGATTTTTTTGCAGTGCTGGGAATCTAACCCAGAGCCTCACCCGTGCTAAGCACAGCTCTACCACTAAGCTACAACCCCAGCCCTAATGTCATTTTTAATGACATCACTAATTTTAAGACTGCTATATGAAAGGGCATTCATTTTATATTTTCATACATACTGCCAAATAACTCTCCAGAAAAGATGTACCAACTTACATTCCCATGAACAGTGTATGAGTATACCTACGTTTTCACATTCTTGCCTGCAATGAGTACTGTCTAAATGTTTTTCCTTGTTTTCTAATTTGACAGGTGAAAATAGTATGTCATTGCTATTTTTACATATATTTCTTTAATATTAATATGGTAAAGATGTTTTTATCAGCCAAAACAGTCTTTTTTTTTTTTTAAATGCTAGGAATTAAAAGCAGGGCCTCAAGCATACTAGGCAAGTGTTCTAAAACTGAGCTAAATCACCAACCCAGTCTTTCTTTTAAAACCCCCTTATTAAGATCTTTTGTGAAAGCTCATTGCTTATCTTACTAATATAAAAGATTTTTTTTTTTGTATTTTACAAATAGAAGCCATTTGACATAGATGGTGCCAATATATTTTCTTCCATTTTGTTGTTTTTAACTTTTCTTCTGTTTTAGGGAGCAGCAGTACTTTTAATTTCATTTTAGCTGTGTTCAATTGAATTGCTGAAGACACCACCTCAAGGCTCAATCCCAAGTAGTTTTACAGCCAAACAGACATAAAATCACCATCATCAAAGCTAATAAAACTCCTTTTCCAAGCAGGGAAAAGAATGTTGGTACCTGCTAGGTAACTATACTTTCAATTAATGATAGTCTATTCCTCAAACCACATCCTCCAGGTTGTATGACTCAATTTTTATATTATATTCATTTCTCCACTGAGATCCCATTCCTACTCTATGCCCCCGTCTTAGCTGATTACTTGATGGCCTATTTTGAAGCTCTTTTTTTCTCCTGGAGGGTGAGCCCCTCCCCATGATTTCACTATTACCAGGAAACCCCCCCTGAAGATAACCAAACTTCTGAAATCTACTAGACTGTCACCTAATGGATCAGTATTATCACTATCTAGAAATGTCTGTTACCATGATCTGTCTTGGATATTGACTTAAATTTACCAAGCTATGCTGGCCATTATAATATACTGCTAGTCAACTCACTTGAAGAATAGCTACATGGAATAGTAAGCAAACAAAAATGGTGTGCTGTTTCTTTTGTTACTGGGATATATTCTCCCTTAATACTTCTTTTTCCCAACCAGTCATTCACAAGTTCTGGCATACTTCATGGTACGAAGCAGTCTGGTTTATGACAAGTAGCATAATAATATCATAAAACAAATAAGCATACTCAATGAAAGTGCAATTTTTTGTTAACGTCACACACACAAAAATCATAATGAGGAAACAGTCTAGAAGGATACCCTTTAATTACATGAAAAAAAGCATTCAAAATATGTATCTATAGATCTGGTATTTCACAGAATATAGAATTTTGTCTAACTAGCCCACAAATATTTACCTTTTTTTTTTTTCTTGCGATACTGGGGTTTGAACTCAGGACACAGCCCTTTTTTGTGATGGGTTTTTTTGAGATAGGGTCTCCTGGAAATATTTGCCCAAACCGGGCAAATATTTGAACCTCAATCCTCCTAATCTCTGCCTCCTGAGTAGCTATGATTGCCTGTGCAGGTGTGAGCCACCAGAACCCACCTCTACCACTACTCCATTTCTTAACTACAACTGTATTAAGTAAAGACAGCAACATCAATAATAGTATCTATGTTTAGAGCTAGATTGCACTGCTTAATTTTTTTTCTTCAGTCTAACATCTTCTAACCTTTAACTAATTTTGTTCGTACTCCAAGATACTTTCATGCTAAAAAATAAATTTTTAAATGTAAATGTTAGACCAATAGCAAGGAAAATAACTATATGCTGACCATAGCACATACTTAGTGAAATCATACCCTTAACTAAAGAAATACTGCCCAAGTTCATCTTCAGTTCCCTAAAATCTACAAACTACATTCCATTGGAGCCAATTTTACAAAGTACCAAAGTAATACCATCCTGGACCAGTAAAGGATATCTAAAAAGGACATTATCAGGATAAATCAATTGCTTTCAACCAGAAGCAGTTCTGCCTCCCAAGAGACATTTTTGGTTGTCATACTGGGAAAAGGAAGAAGGCCACAGCCCATTGTTGATACCTAGCCCCCCCACACACACACACAACAAACTATCTGGCCCATAATGTCTTCAGTTACAAAGGTGAGAAACCTAAGACAATGGATGAAATTTGAATCTAAACTGCACTGTAACAGTTAAATTTCCAGAATCTAAAAATTTCCCTGTGGTTTCCAAGCAGAATGACTTTGTTCTTAGAAAATACATACCAAAGTATTTAGGAGCATGACTCACAAATGGTTCAGAAGAAAACATGCAAAGAGAAAGAATGAAAGACAAAATAATACAGCCAAATGATAGTAACAGGTGAATTGAAGACAGTATATAAAAATTTTTATTATTATTATAATTTAAAATCATATCAAAATACAAAGTTAAACACATATTAACATGCCTATAATTTGTTTTATCTAAGAAACTTTGCACAATTTCCCTACATATACAATATAGCAAAACAGCTTTCATTTACACTTTCTCAAAGTAAGTTACTCTATCTTGAATGGATATTTGCAAATTTGATTCAAATTACTCAAGTAAGGTAAAAAGCATAATTTTTAATTTGTTTGTGGTGCTGGGGATCAAACCCAGGGCCTCTCACCTGCTAAAAAGCCCAACTTCCAAAATGTGAACAGCACAAAGCTAGAAATGTTTAGATGTCGATCAAAGTCATACTTTATTATATCACAGTATATACATGGCCAATATCCCCACATTGTTTAATTCAACCTTTCAAGATTTACGGAAAACAATTTGGAATCACATGAGATCTGAACATAAAAAAGATGTATAAGAAATAATACAAAAGGTTTTTTAAGACTCAGATTTTTATAAGTTTAACACTAGTTTCAAATTCTCAAACCTTATCATTCCTATTTTTTAAGCACTCATTACTGAAACAGCATGCAACATATCTACAATAACAGCTTCATGAAAAACTACAGTTTATTTTAGGAAAACAATAATTAAAATTTTTTAACCCAAGAAAAAATTTAGGGTACTTACAGATGTCTGGGACATACTTGACTGCTGTGTGACACTTCCTGTAGGGGATGTAGATGGTCTTCCACTGGATAAACTTGCCTAAAATGATATGACCACTATAATATGTCTCTAAAAACAATGAGGTTAAAAACTTTCTGGTATCAGGATAATGTAAAACCACAACAAAGCTAAAAGACATAGAAACAAATTTTCCAGTCAATATGACTTATCCCTGGCCATCAGATTCTTCAAAACAGAAAGAAAAAACTGACTGGTAAAAACAGGACCCAACAGTTAATCTAATTTTATTAGCTGTACTTACTGTCAGTTTAAGTCTATGGGTCTCTGTCATCTTTGGAGTAGAATCACAACTCCAACATTATGAAAAAGAAATGTGCTACATCAAGAGCCAGTGGGTTTGTGTGCTAACTTGTATTATAAACATAATGCTGTTTAAAATTTTACTATTGAAAAGAAGCCACAGCTGGTATATGTTGATAACAGAAATAAACCTTCTTTAGGTTCAGTCAACTGAGATAACTCCTCTGGTGAGGAGAGTTAAGATTATATCTCATAGACAGTGCAACATTAATGAAAATCTTTTCTAAAACATAAACATTTAATCATAAAATTATTGTTATTTGCAGGAATAATATAACTGAATTTTAGAAAAGTGCATATAGGTATTTTTATACAGAAAATTTCTGGAGGGATATATGTTAAACTGTTTTAACGGCCATCTGTAAAGAATAGGAACCAGTGGTAGATGCAGAAAGGAACATCTCTACTTCACTTGCCTCTTACTATTTTATACTGCTTGATTTTTGTTTGGTTTATTTTATTTTTTGGTGGTACTGGGGCTTGAACTCAGGGCCTCACCCATACTAGGCAGGCACTCTACCACTTGAGCCACTCCACCAACACAAGCTGCTTGATGTTTTTTAATGACTATAAATTACCTACAAAAAAAAAAACAACAAAAAACCTACTTTTGGTTCAAAAGAAATGTAATTCATATAACTTTAAGTATTCACTGTTGCATGGAAAATTTTAACATAGTATTTCTCCAATTTGCATAAAAAGTAGCGAGATAAAAGCTAGCAACAGAACAGAGTACCATATAAAATGTGTCCGTTTTTCCCCCAATTAACTTCTACTTGTTAGCCTACTGACATATTTCCTTCAGGAAAAATAAATCACAAGACATTTGAGAACTCTGAAATAATACCCAGAATATGTATTTTCAGTAATTATCTGAAGATAATGCAAACTTTGGCCTCATAAATTATTAACTCTTTTCAGTCTCACCTGAACAGCAGCAAGGCTCTGGAGCTGGGAGCTGCTTAAATGCTGCTGCTGAAGAGCTGCAGTGTGCAACATCAGGTGCTGCTGCTGTGCAGCATACATTTGTTGAAGGTACTGAGCAGCTGAACTGGGGGGCCGATGCAAGGCCTGCTGAATTACCTGTGATAGGTAAGTCAAATGAACCAATGTCAGACCATAATCTCAACCGTCCATCTTTTTTTCAACCTTGGTGCTAGGGATCTAACCCATATCCTTGTGCATGCTAGCTCATGCTCCACTGCTGAGCTACCGCTGAGCTAGATCCCCAGCTCAACCTTTATTTTAACATAAAATGGAAGCATTTTTTTAAATGGCAGTTTAAATTTACTTTTTTTAATCAGTGGCACTTAAGTTTGAACTCAGGGCTTTACACTTGCTAAGCAGGCTCTCTACCACTTGAACCATGCTTCCAGTCTTTCACCACTTTTTTGGTGGTACTGGGGCTTGAACTCAGGGGCTACACCTTAAGCCACTCTACCAGTCCTTTTTTGTGATGGGTTTTTTTGAGATAGGGTCTTGCGAACTATTTGACCAGGCTGGCTTCGAACCATGATCCTCCTCATCTCTACCTCCTGAGTAGCCAGGATTACAGGCATGAGTCACCATCACCTGGCCCCTTCACCACTTTTAATAATCAATGTCGTCAAGCTTTGTAACATGTTTCTCCCCTAGTTATACTGCAATAGGATTTTAGGATTCACTGGTTGTACAAGTAAATTACCAGTATAACTTAAAAGAGAAAGGGCCAAATAGGCATTTGAAGAAATCTTCAACCTTCCTACTAGTCAAAAACTTACAAATTAAAACAAAATACCATTTTCCAAATTGAAAGTTAGACAGTTGAAGATGGATATTCAAAAGAATACTTCTAAAATCAAATACCTAGGTGTAAACCTAACAAAAGATGTGAAAGACCTCTACAAGGAAAACTATACACTTCTGAAGAAAGAGATTGAGGAAGA